CTTAGCTTTGCACTCCACCACGGAACCTTCCTATTGGAGGTCCGGATTTTTGGCGGGCAGCTTTCCTCAAAAGCGCTGATGATACCCCTGGAAGTGACCTCAACATCTAACTCTAGACTCTGAGTGGTTTTGATAGATTTAGGACACCCTTGTAGATACTACCCTAGTCTGTCTCTATAGACGTCTCAGGCCGTGTCCCTTGGATTCCTAAATGTAGTGGGGTGGCAGACATTACCTGCTCCCAGATCAAATTTTAAGTGTTTATGATCTGACATAGACGTCTAGCCTAGACTTATGAGGCCGGCTAGCCTAGACGTAGAAAAAGTAATGTCCACAATTTCTTGTCTTGACCTAGTAACAAATGGTGGTGTACATCCTTCATTATTAAGATACAGGCAATTTGATAGGATAAAGTCATATAGTAACTCACCTCTGTTAATGATGTCTGATCTCCCCCAGGCGTTGTGGTGAGCGTTGGCATCACATCCCACCAGAAGTTCTGCTTTGTGTTTCCGGGCGCATTCCGCCAGTCGTGTCAGATCTTCCGTGGGATTGTTCTTTTATCTAGGTAGATAGGCTGAGCATACTATTATCTTGGCCTGAGTGCTACTCCGGGGAAAGAGTTATAAAGTCATTAGTATAGAACTCTGGAACAGGCATAAGGTTAATGTTTTTGTTACAAACAATGCAGGCTCTGGGTCTACTTCCACAGGTGTTGTAAATCAACTTACCAGCAGCATTGAGTCCCATTAATTTTGTATGGTTAACCCAGAGTTCCTGGATGAGGGCCACATCCACGTTGCCTTTCGCGAAGCAACACTCCAACACAGCCGTTGCAGCCACGGCATGGTAGAGGTTTGCTTGCAAAACCCTCACCCTATCCCCCGTGGGCGCCATATAGCGGGGATTGAAGCTCCGGCCGCGTTACTGCCCCCGACTGCTACGAGGAAGACGAAGCTGTCCTGGTGTGCAAGGGCGTGGGTTGGCAGCCCCACGCCCTTGCACACCTCCACGCCACCTGGCACCGAACCCAGACGGTCATTTAGTGCCATTACTGTGGCAGATTTTGGTTAAGCCGCCCCAGTACTGGCACTTGTTGATAGCTGCGCTGTTTGCACTACACCCGGGACAGCGGGTGCTGTCCGAGTGTGCCCAGCCTCCCGTCCGCGATTCTTCTGGGGCGATGCAGCCAGAGTCGCAGACGGGGCAGCCCCGTCGCGTTTCCCTTGGTCCGTGGAAGACGGGCCAGGCGCAGACACCTGCTCTGAGGCTTCCGGCCCCGATTCCTCGAACAGACTTGCAACCGACACTGGTTTCGACACCAAGACGCGGAGTGTCGCCACTGAACGTACTTTCCGGACACCCTTTGATCCTAAACGTGACCTGTTGAAAACCAAGGTGTGCCCGGCAATTTGAGGCACGGAGATTCTCCAAAGATGGGTCATCAAGAGCGAACGCGACTACCCATCCGTTCGCATCTTCCCCAATATGAAGAACCTTGCACACTTCTGTGCGGAGGCCTCAATTTTGGGCCCCCAGCAGTCTTCTGGCCATCTGCACCGAGTCACATCCCTTCTTGAAAATGTAGGTGGTAGCGGTGGTGGGCTTTGGAAGCTCGCTCTCCTCAATCAAAGATAGCTGAGCTTCCGACCACGGCTTTAAATTGCCGATTTAAGTTCCGTCATGTATTTCCAAACGATATTGTTAAAGCCTTTAAGTCTATAAACATAAAAAATACTGCTGATCTTGATGGTCTTTCAGTCAGAGTAATTAGTTCTATAGTTGATTGTATTGCGCCTTATTTAGCCGGTGTCTTTAATAAATGTGTTGATGATGGTGTCTTTCCTAACCTCATGAAGCAAAGTAAAGTTATTCCACTTTTCAAATCTGGTAGTATTTCTGACCCCACCAGTTTCAGACCTATATCAATACTACCAACTCTCAGTAAAATATTTGAAAAAATTATTCTAAATCAGATGTGTGCACATTTTTATAGTAATAACTTAATGTCTCCTAAACAATTTGGTTTCACTCGGGGTCGCTCTACAACCGATGCTGGTGTCGAGTTGATTAATCATATATTTGATGCATGGGAAGTCTCACATGACGCTATTGGTGTATTCTGTGACCTTTCCAAAGCTTTTGATTGTGTGCACCATGATACACTGGTCAGGAAACTTCGCCATTATGGTGTGGCGGGACGTGATCTCGACCATCTAAAATCGTATTTGCGTCGTAGGGTACAGAGGGTCGATGTTAACGGTACGAGATCGTCAGGATCTGCAATTGGCATGGGTGTCCCTCAAGGTTCAATTCTAGGCCCATTTTTATTTTTAGTTTATATTAATGACTTACCTAGCCTTATGGAGGGTATAAAACATGAGATAGTATTGTTTGCTGATGATACTTCCTTATTATTTAAAGGTAAAAGGCACCAATGTTCCTACGACGATGTGAACAATGCTATATCTAAAGTAGTTGATTGGTTTGCTGTTAATAACCTACTTCTTAATGAGAAAAAACAAATTGTGTGAAATTTACATTACCCAATGTTAGAGAGACGGTTACAAACATTGTAGTTAGAAACGAAAAATTGAATCTTGTGGATACAGTTGTATTTCTAGGTATAACGTTAGATGCTAAATTGTAATGGGGTCCCCATATAAGTAAGTTATCAAAACGGCTCGGCTCTGCAGTGTACGCGATTAAAAAAATAAGGAAACTTTCAGACGTCGAAACCGCTAGATTGGTTTACTTCAGCTACTTTCACAGTCTAATGACATACGGCATTTTGCTTTGGGGTAATGCCGCCGATATCAATAGAATCTTTGTCCTGCAGAAACGTGCAGTTAGGGCAATTTACAATCTGAGCCCCAAAGTATCTTTGAGAGATAAGTTTAAGGAAATTAACATTCTTACACTAGCCTCACAGTACATTTATGAAAATGTAATTTATGTTAAAAGGAATAGTAATTTATTTAGGAAAAATAGTGACAGATATAACATTAATACGAGGAATAGAAATAAACTAGCTTTTCTTGATAGTCGTCTTCACAAAGTCAAAAAAATCATTTAAGGGGCAATGTATACGCTTCTATAACAAGATTCCGGTTGATATACAAAATTTGCCTTTCACGAGGTTTAAAACTATAGTGAAACAAAAACTTTATACTAAAGGTTATTATACAACTTCTGCGTACTTGGATGACAAAAATCCGTGGTAGTACCCCGTTTAGCTCATGGAGGTAGTCTCGATCCCTGATGTTTCAAATAAAAAAAGAATATTGTAAATGTTATTTACAAAGAGCAACCCCTAGAGTTTCTTGCTCATTCTTCTCAGAGGAATCTGCCTTACGAATGAGCGGTAGAGTTTAACTATTGTGACGATTTCAAGTGTAATAATGCTTACCTATGAAATAAAGATTATTTTGAATTTGAATTTGAATTTGATCTTTCCCACAAGCCAGTCTACACTTTTTGGACACCGGAAGATCACTCCAGGGCTTTTCAGATAGAGGTAGAGCTTCTGCGTAGTTTATACCTGTTCTCATCAGGCCCTGCAGTCTCTTCCGGTGAGACCCGTTCAGCCGAATGCGCGGCTGAGCGTTGGATTCCGATACCAGTGGATTCGAAGGACCCGCCTGGTTCGTATCCATAGCCGTGACCGAAGTCACGTCGTTTTTGCTGGGTGGACTGTCCATCTCAGTAATCGTTTGCTCCAAGGACGAAATTAAATCGTTAATATTTATCTTTTCTTTCTCCATATACGTCTCACGAGAAGCTAGGGAATTAAAGGTCACAGCCAACAGAGCCCCGCTTGCCGGCTGAAGGGCATAAAGTTCCCCCGAGGTTCCCTGGTATCGAGGGTGTACCGTTAGCAGCTGGGCTCCAAGACCCGCATCTAAACGCACGGTATGCTTGACACCCTTAGATTGGGTGACGACACTTTTGCCAACGCCTAGCAAATGCTCGAACAAAGTCCAAGCATTTAACAAAATAGTGGATACAAAAAGGCCGAATCCAAAATGACGACTCGATATAAAACTGTCCCGATCCGGCTAAAATTTGATATCCGGGGGTTTTCGGGAGCTCCAAGGTCGATTTCGACTTCAATAAAATGTTTTTGCAATATTCCAATAAGGCCTCAATACAAACAAAATGGTTTGGGATAAATTTTGTTGATTTTGGGCGATTACCTCGTATTTTTGTTGGCTTTAATTAGTACTAAAATTTTTCATCCTTGGGGACAGTCTAGGGCCATGGTGGACGAAACGCATGTGGCTAGATCTTAGTTTTTACTAAATTATTTAATTTTCTTTTATGTAGTCCAGCATGGTAACCGCTCAGACACGGAAGTAGTAAGAAAATTGTAGTAAAAAAAATATAGCAGATAAGAAAATTCTGCATTGTTTTTTAATTCTAAGATAAAAAAAATATTAGAGGCAATAAACATAGAAAGTAACATAAAACAAAACTTATAAAATATTATATTGTGTTGATATTTTTACTGTTACTGTTACTGTTTTAATTTTTACAGTTACTGACAAATCCATCGCAAATTGTATGTTATTATTTTTTCCATTCTCTAAGATTTTATGTGACTAAGAAAGAAATAAATAAATATTTATTACACAGAGAATAGACGATAGATAATGCTTATAAAATATAATGGACTGATGGCGTGGCGTGATTGGCAGGCTGAGCCAATTTAAAACTCCATTTTAACCATTGAAGCCAATGATTTTAACAGAAAATTCATAAGACTTGGCTGTATGGTTTTAAGCCTTTGCCGTTTCCTTAACGGAATCAATTTAAACAACGACAATTTATATGTAACAAAAAAATAATTGTAAAATGGTCGTGCCATTTGGGAATATTTTCAGGAACATGAGAAGTCGTCGAAATAACCAGCATTTGTTATATATGATTATAGTTTTTGTTATAATCACCTGGATGATAAAGAAATATTGCAGTAACAATATTGAACAAAGAGATGACGCTAAGAGATTGCATGAACTAAATATACAGTCAAGAATAAAACGCGAAAAAGGTACAGGATGCAGAATGCCAACGACAAACCCATTCGCTGCTGTTATCATGAAATATATCAAGGAAACATCTAAAATCCTTTGCCATGGAATAGACTGGGTCAATTGCATTGGTTCGGAGTGCTATGTAATACAAAATATATTGGATTCAGCACCGGCAGTGGAATGCTACTACAGTGATATAATTTACTTTACTGACAATGAATATTACTTCGAGAATTCTGTCAGAGTAACAGGCAATGAAAAATATATTTTACAGCGGTCAGATCACGTACATGTATATTGCATTAAAAACGCCAAATTCCCGTTTAGTTGGTTTTCCCCGAGATGGAGTGGCCTGAAAACTGGTTTACGCGACGTAGAAGTGCCTTATCGACCTGATCGAATTGACTCACTCAACGTTCTCGTACTTGGCATGGACTCTATTTCTCACAACCAGTTCTTACGAAAATTACCCCATTCTTACAACGTTCTCACTCACGAGCTCGGCGCCGTTATCCTCAACAGTTACAACATACTCGGAGATGGTACTCCAGCTGCTTTGTTTCCAATTTTGACAGGCAAATCGGAGCTTGAAATGCCCGATGCACGAAAAATAAACAAAGGTGTATATTTTCATCCAAAGGACTTTTTGTTTGGACAGTTAAAATTAGACGGTTACCACACAGCATACTTTGAGGACATGCCACAAACGGGAACTTTTCAATACCGCTTTAACGGGTTTAAGTACCAACCGGCTGATCATTACCTTAGGCCTTTATTTTTGGAAGCAACAGATCTATACTGCGTAGGCGCCGTACCAAGATATGCTCTCATGTTGAATCTTACGCTACAATTCATTAAAAGAGCAGGCAAGCACTTCTGCTTCACTTTTATTGCGGATATTTGTCACGACGACTCTAATTTAATTGCAACTATGGAAGATGATCTATCTGAATTCTTGAGAGCTTTAAAATCAAACGGAATTTTAGAAAATACCCTTGTGTTTGTGATGGGAGACCATGGGCCGAGGTATTCAGAATTGCGATCTATTTATCAAGGCAAGATTGAGGAGCGTCTGCCTTTCGTGGGCATCCTTTTGCCAGAAAAGGTAAACAATTTTATACGTGCAGTAAAAACGTCTTTGAGAGCAAACGCGGACGTCCTCACAACACCTTTTGACATTCACACTACCATTTTAGACGCTGTAGGTTTAAGTCATTTAAGCAATAATTATAAGGTGCCTGGTTCAGACCTTCCGAGAGGGATGAGCCTGTTGAGGCCTATACCAGCGACGCGTTCTTGCGCCGAGGCGGATGTGCATACGCATTGGTGCGCGTGTCTACAGTGGGTCAACGTGTCTCAAACTGAACCCATCTACACGCGAGTTGCGAATGCATTCTGTACTTTTATTAATAATCTTGTGGCTGTAAATGCTAAATGTGCTAAGAGAGAGCTCACCGCCATAGAATGGGTATTACGAGAGGAACACGATAATCAATATCTTAACAAGGATAGTGGCGGAGGTTATCTTTCAATATTCAGAAAGTCCGTAGAGCCGTCTGTTGAAAATTATCAAGTAAAGGTAGTAATGAGTCCGGGACATGCTATATTCGAAGGCACAGTGATGTTTTTACGAAACCGCGACCAGTTTTTGGTGTCAGAGTATGATATTTCCCGAGTGAATGCTTATGGCGACGAACCAAGATGCATTGTTAAAACTCATCCTCATTTAAGTAAGTTTTGCTACTGTGTGGTTTAGGACATAACAGTTAAACGTTACATATTATGTGATCTTTAGAGCGTTAAGATTCTGTGTTCATACATACGTGTGTGTAAAAAGTTGTGTAACCGATTCTGATAATAGAAATGTTTGCAGTATCGATTTTTGTTTCATAAGTAGAAATCTTCTTCAATCTTCAATAGCAGCAAAACGCTAACATGAAACAATAATAGATATTTATTCATAGCCTCGCATTAGCAAGCAAATTTGTACGGAAGAGACAATTCATTTTGCGGATACATTTTAGCCAAGTATTAAGAGTAGAATTATTTGTAGGTAGCTAAACTGTGTGGTGCTATACGATAAAATTATTTTCTACGAGTAAATTAAAGTAATGAAATACAACCAACGTTTTATGTGTATTTTGTTAACAATCCACGACAGCAAATTCAAACGAAATCTAAAATATAAAAAATCAAAGATATAGAATAGAAGTGTCCATGATTGGCCAAGTACCGCTTATATTTTAACCAATCAGGAGGCAGTAGAGCGTTTGAGTAGCGTCATATTTTTCATTTTTTATATTGTTTTTAAATAGTTATTTTTTGCAAAATTGTTACGCATTCGTCCTTGTTGTATTTGTAGAATAATACGGTTCCAATTCTTCTAAAAATTTATCTGGCGCTTTTTCAAAACAAAACAAGTGATGTAGTATAGGCCCCTGGCAGGGACTAAACCTGTGATCTTAATTTGAAAAGGCAAGATAGCATTGTTTGAAATTGCAGACTGAAAGCATAATATGCAAAAAAAGTTTAAAGTATGTCACAGTCGTAGCTCCAAATTTAGCACCATCAGTATGAAGTTAAATTTAGCCAAATGATAGCTTTATATCATTTACAATCATCTCTCGATGGCAGAAAGTATATCAATTTGACAATAGCTTTCTTTTTCTTATAGGCCCCGTAAAGTGTAAAATCCCAATCGGAATCAAAACAAAATTCGAGATTTTTGGGGCTTTTTTAAGTCGCACATTACAGATACCCTTAAATACTTACACACATGATGTTGAACTGCCTCCCAATACATTGTGCTAAGAACGCGTCTGCGCTACCGTGGACAAGTCTCGTCACCTGAAGGTGGATCCCTTTGCTTAACATCACTAAGTTGTCCAGAAGAAGATTGGTTAACTTGGCTTGTCTAGCAACTGCAGTTAAACTTATAGACCAAGAAAACCAATTATATTCTTGGTTGGATGCAGAAAATTTACATACTTAACTGTCTTTTTGGAATATTGCAGTTGCAGCACATCAAGATTTACACTTTGTACTTTGGATTTTTCTTATCGTAAGCAGCATAGAGTTGGATATAAATCTTCAGTGTCAAGTTTCACGTGCTCTTGACCCTGTACAATAGTGTAAATGCAACATTCCAAACACTAACACTTATTTATTACTTATTTTAATATAATCCTTCTTTAAACTATTGCGTTCCGGTTTTAAGGATAAGGGCGTTAGTGACACTACGGGTACGTGAGAATTGTCAACTTTGTGTCTCAGGGTGACGGGTGCAGTGGCAGTGCCCCTCAGATCTGCAATTTAAAGCTCTAAGGGGTATTGGGTGTGACGCTTACCGCTTGTCACTTGACATAATTTAAAAAAAGTATTTTTTCTTATGATACCAATTGACAGGACGAACAATGCGTGCGCCTGATGGTAAGCGACACGCCAATCCATAGCAGTTGCAGTGCCGCTCAGAGTTTTAAATCGCAAGGATCTAAAGGGCACTGTTTCCGCTCCCGTCACCCTGAGACATAAGTTGACAAATTCCATGTGCTAGTAATTTGACCAGCACCCTTATCCTTCAAAACCGGAACGCAGTTACGGTTATATTACTGCTTGGTCGCAGAAATGAGTAAAGTGGCAGTACTTCCTCGGACGAACTCTTTCACGAAGAGCTGTACGTCTACAAAAACTCGTGTGGCTTGATAAATTTATATTATTACTTTTTGTTTACTATTTGACAAGATCATACACTTTATTTTGGGCCAACTCCATTTTCTCATACATGTCTTTTGTGAAAGGATTGAAATATTTATATTTCTTAACATGTCGGAACAGGTTATCCAAGCCACTCTTTCTATGGATTGCACAAGTGATGTCCCACTGCAAAAAAACGTACAAAACTTATGGAGACCATGGGCACAACAGTGGTGTAACCCACTTTTAATTATTTTTTCTTCAATATTAGGTACTTTAAATGATACTAACACATAGTTGTTTTATATTGAAATGCTATTTTCACGTGTATAACAAATCCAAATATAAAACTATGATGACATTAATATCGTTTAGAGAAACATTGTAGATAAAAATAAAGTTACACCAGACTCTTGCGTTGATAGCGTCAATTAGCCAAGCCAAATAATAGTTCAAAATTATACAGAAAATGGTGTTTAAATGCAGATTGATCATGCTGACCGGGTAATACTATCGCTATTTTATAGACTGGTAACCAAATTTGGTACGGAGTTAAAAGCACGTCAAGCTTATTGGAATTTAACTTCATGACGTTTGCGATAAGAGCAATCCAATATGTCTAGATTGATGTGTTCTTAACTGTACCCTTTCTTTGTTATAGTCACAAAAAGTATTTGGAGTTGGTAGTAAGAAAATTACTCCCTTTGAATTTGTGTGTGAAAATGTTTTTGAATTGAAGGTCGCATTCAGGACTAGTGTATTTAGCCGGTGCTTAGGTATGGAGGTGAGATCTGGGTTTGTACTAAGGAGATCCTGCACAAACTGCAGGCGGCTGTAGGGGCAATCGTAAGGAAACTGGTATAACTGTGGTTACGCGCGAGAGGGAGA